TCCCTACTGTGGGGGAATCGGTTCCCCCATGACATTCTAGAATTTCTGGTTTGGTTGACGGGGTATCGATTCCCATTGAATGGGTACCGATTCCCATTGAATGGGTACCGATTCCCCTAGCCCAGAAATCATGTTTTGAGCTCGAAAATCACTTCATTTTCAGCTCCACACTTCCTATTTCACTTCCTTTAATATTCTTAACTGATATATACATACTTAAACTAATTTATACCCATTTATTTCATCTTAAACCTCAAAATTTTATTCTCCATATAGAAATCAATAATCACACCAAATTTTCCATGTTACTCAAACTTAATTCTAACACTTCTAGCTTCTTGTTCTCATAGATGACAAGTCAAATTCATCCTCTAAATTCATTTAAACCTTCTTATTCAAAATTTCACTTAAAAACTCCAATCTTTGATCCATATTATCTTTTTCATCTTATAGTTTTAAGATAACTTAAGCTTTCCTTAAGCTTAAGTATCATCTTATGATTAAAACCCAAGCTTAATTTCAACTAAAAACCAACTAATAAGAAATCTCACCTTTGCTCTTGGCTTCCACACGTGAAGAAGAAAGGAGAAGAAGAGAACTCTGGAAACTGGAACCTTGCTCCCTTCATTTCCACGTGTTATATCCTATATAAAGGAGGAAGAAAAAATCTTTCTTATGAAATTACTATTATACCCTTCATCTAATCCAATAAGGAATTATTCATATCTAAATCATTGAACTTTCAACTATCCTACTTTTATCCCCAAATTCTAAAATTTTACCATTTAATCACTAACCCGGTATTGAGGATGTTACACAAATTCTTTTGGGTCCATATTCATTAGTTTCCAAAATCCTAGTCCCCTTAGGTATCCATTTGTGTAGGATATCCTTATCTTTAGTAGTAATGAGTTCTTTAGGAACCCATATAATTCTAACGATCTTTCCATTAGAGGTTCTTCGGGGACCTCTATGATTGTAGTTTTTAAAACTTTTTCTAACAAAGCTAGATTTTGAATTTTCTCCATTTTCAAAACGTTTTGTTCCAACTTTATTAAAAGAAGCTTTAAGATCATCGATTTTCTTTTGATGATCATCATTGACCTTTGAAAGTAAATTATGCAAATCAGAATTTTTCTTTTCAAACTCTTCTAGTTTGATTTGCACATTTATTATTTTACTTTCAAGATCATTGTTGGTCTTGGATATGAGATTATTTTCATTTTTAAATTTCGAAATATCATTTTTATATTTTAAAAATAGTTTCTCATAATCCGAAGTCAACCCATTATATTCCTCTAATAACTCATCATAAGATAAATCATTTAAATCAAATGAGTTAGAGGTTACCTGAGAATCTTCCCCGAATGCAATCAAGAACAAGTTTGCTTCTTCTTGTTCCTCTTTATCGGAACCTTCTTCATCGCTCTATGTAGCCACATGAGCCTTGTGCTTTTTCTTTGATTGACCCTTTTTCTTCAATTACGGGCAATCATATTTGGCATGCCCCGGCTTTTTGCATTCATAGCAAATGATCGGGTCATTCTCTTTTGGTTTATTTTTTAAGCCTTCATTTCGTTTGAATTTTCTTTCTCGGTTAGGCCTCATCATTTTTCTGAACCGTTTGGCAAACAATGCCATTTCCTCGTCATCGTCATCCGAATCACTCTCATCTTTTGTGGATTTGAGAGCAACTCCAATGTTTTTCTTCTTCTTCTTCTCCTTTGGTGTCTCGTCAATCTTATCGAGGTCCACCTCATCGTCAAGCATTATTTCATGAGTGATGAGGGAACCGATTAGCTCTTCAAGGGTTAAGGACTTTAGGTTCTTAGCCTCGATGATTGTCGTCTTCTTTGATTGCCACGATTTTGGAAGTGAGTAAACTAACTTCCTCACAAGCTTTTCGTTTGGAATGATCTCTCCATATGATTTGAGACAATTGACAATCGTTGAAAATCTTTCATCATAGCTTTGATATCTTCATTTGGTTTCATCCTGAAATTTTCATAGATATGTGTTAGAAGACTAATTTTAGATTCTTTTACCTCGTCGATGCCTTCATGAGTGACTTGTAGTTTATCCCATATTTCTTTGGCGATTGTACAAGATGAAACTCTTCCATATTCATCTGGTCCAAGAGCACAAAATATAATATGGATGGCTTTGGAGTTGAGCTGGAACATTCTTGTCTCTCTGTCACTCCACAATCTTGGATGAGTGAGAGGCTTGATATATCCGTATTCTACAATATTCCATCCTCCCATGTCACTTGCTTGAATGAAATACATCATCCTATTCTTCTAATAGGCATAGTTAGCTCCATTGAAGAAATGAGGCTTGTTGACGGGCATTGAATCGAGACCGGAGTTGAAGTTTGAAGTGGAGGCCATTGATGACTTGATTATCGATGTAACTCTTCCCGGATCTACTCAAGAGGCAATTAGACCTTCAAATGAGTCAAGCTCTGATATCAATTGTTGAGTTAATCGATCGATGGAATCGGCCAAGAGGGGGTGAATTGGAAATTAAAATTTTGGTTGAAGCTTTTGCAGAAAATTGAAAGTAATTGCACAACGATTTAGAGTGGTTCGACTTTCTCAACCAAAGTCTACGTCCACTACCTTAGCTATCCACACTAAGGAGTTTCCAACAAATTCACTAATTTGTTCTTTCTTTTGAGGCCAAAGAGATAACCTTACAACTCCCTCAAGAATATACCCCAATTCTTGAGAACACTCTTTCTCAAAGAGAAGATTACAAATTTGCAAACTTACAAGGAAATCCTCACAAGGTAGATTGTTTGCACAATTCTAGAACAAAGAAAGAACACTCAAGAATAATACAATTGAGCACAATAAGTGTTCTTGAAAGCAAAAAAAAGAATATTGAATGAAATAGGCTTGAAAATGCTCAAACTTGAGGTTTGATGCTTTCTCTTTGATTCTCTCTTGATTCTTGTTGATTGTTGTTTCTTGTTGTTGACCAATGGCTTCTAAGCTTGTTTAAATACTCCTTCAATTGATTTTGAACGTTGGGGATGATTATTGGAGTCAATGGAGTCGTTTTAGTGTGAAATCAATTAATAAAACAGCTTGAAGCGTGGGGGGAATCGGTACCCCCTCATAGGGAATCGGTTCCCTAAGTGTAAAATTCAAATATTTCGACCGTTACACAGGGGAGAATCTGTTCCCTCCGAGCATTATGTTTTTCTCGGAGCCAAACCATTCAGGGGGAATCGGTTCCCTTTGGACAATCTGAAATTTTTGGCTTTGAAACGGTTCAAAATACTTTGTAAAATTGTTTTGAAATTATTTTAAGATTAAAACTTAATTTTACACTTGAGTAAGGATTAAAAATGACATTTGAAAGATTTGGAGTAATATTTTGATATTCAAATAATTATATCGAATATACTTAGAAAATCTTTTGAAAAATCTTAAAATTCATTTAACTTAATTTGTTATATCGAAATATCAAAATGTTTTCAACAACCTTCTAGCCAACATTCTGTAAACATCCAAGAGTGGATTTGTTCATGTAGAAAATGAGAATTAACAAGTTATTTCATGTTAGCCTACTTATGCTGGTGGAAATATGTTCATGTTCATATTCATGATACTAACTAATTATTATTTCATGTAGGGATTCCATGTGTGTATACAATTTCTGTTATTTTGGCACTTTAAGAAAGATCAAAAAAATATGTTCACCATTGCTATTTTTTGTTGACCCAAAAGGTCATTTATTTCCAGTGAAGGGTGAGAAACAATGGACTTCTGAAGAAACATTGGAGCATATTCTGCTACATGTCTTTAGAAGACCTCCAGGAAGACCACACAAAAAGTGAAAAAGAGAGGTTGATGAACTAGTACATGTGCTTGGTACCGTGTCCAAGAAGGGTGTCAATCTTTCTTATAAAAAATATGAATGAAGTGGACATAATACTAGAACATGTAAAGAAAAGGTTGGTAGCAATACCAGAGCTCCAAATTTTCCAATAAGTGTTATCATGCATTTTAATTTGCTGCTTGGAAGAATGTCGTGTAATTATGAATTTTAATTTGATGCTCGGAAGAATATCTTGTTGTTATGCATTTTAATTTGTTGCTTGGAAGAATGTCTAGTTATTATGCATTTTAATTTGCTGCTTGGTCGAATGTGTTGTTATGTTGGGTGATTGGTACATATTAGTAGAGCTAGAATCAGCCCCAACAACTCAAGCTAGAGCCACCCAACAACTCTAACAACTCAATCTTCACAGGGTCATGTTGCTAGATGGATGGCTACCCTAACAACAAATCAGTCAAGAGCCACCTCAATAACAAGTGGAGATAGAATTTCCCTAAGGTCAACTCCAACAACAACTCAACCTTCACAAGGTTATGTTGTTAGATGGATGCCCACCCCCTCCATACATATGAGTCAGGAGAGTTGTGCCACCCAATCAACTCCAAGGATTGATCATCTTTGATTCTGTTGACACCAATATTTAGCACTTGGTTCATTTTTATGTGTTGACCAAACAAATTTTTTGTTCAACTTACTTTAGTATTTTGTTTGATTTACTTTTGTGGGTCACTATTTTAATGTTTTACAGACTATATGTGATGTATGGATTACATTCCAAAGTTAAAGATGTGATTATGTGTTGGTCAAACATTATGTGACGTATGAATTACATTCCAAACTTAAAGGATTTATGATATGAAGTATTTTTGTGTTCTTCAACTTTCTTAATTCATATTCTTGTTTACTGACATTATTACTTCACCGTTACATATTTCATATTCTTATTTAACAACAACAACTTAATATGAAAAGATATTTTTCATTACATATTTCGATTAATTTGCTTACAAAAATTGGTGATATAACATCAACCACGTCACCCTTCAAATTACAAAAAACCTAGGTAACAACCATCCCATTTGAAAAAGAAAATTTGAACTAGAAAACTATAAATGATAAGGCAAACAACTACTTCTCATAATGCACAAACAAACAGAATAAATGTGTTTTTTCTTAACCCTAAGCAAAAATAACATCATTTGAACTGCCCAAAACCATCTTAGAAGTTTTGTTTCTGAAAGTTGAATCTAATGGTTCATCATGTAAATATTCATCCATATTATGGATGGCTGTTCATCAAACAACTAAATTTCTCCAAGAATTGGAAAGAAAAAAAGAAGACGAAAAGAGCCGCCGGATTCCACATCTACGTTGCTGCAGCGGTAACCATAGGATCCGTATTGCAAATACTAGAAGAAGATTGGCATTTTCCCAAAAGTAATCACATAAAGTCGTAATCATCGACGTCATCGTAAGCGTTAACAACCAAATCATCATCTGGTTTGTCGACATGGAGCTGTTTCTTTTTCCCACCTGAAAATTAAAAATAGAACCACGGTTAGAGAATTGTCGTACTTAAAATTGATTACGAGCATAATACGATATATAATCAGAACAATTTGTTAAGAAGATGAATTAGACAAAAGCACGTAGCTTCTCTATACGGTACTATTATCGGGGCTCGAACACCTACATCAGGTGTTGGAAGTTCATTCTTACAAAGACCTTTGCAAAAGCAAATAGGGGTATCATGCAACATCATAGTGTCTCATGAACTTTTAGTTTTAATGTTTAAAATTATGGAAGGGAGTGGCATTTACCTATGTCGGAAGTAGCAATTACCCGATAATGAAACTAAGGAGAGGCATTTATCTAGCTAATACCTACCCTCACTATAAGCATAATGCTCAATTATACATGGAAGTAACTTTACGTAACTATCGTCGGATACGCTTTTCCTTAAAAAGAGTCAATTTCTTTTTCTCCCACAATTGATTTAAAATTCTCAATTAAGCGAAAATTTGACAGAAGAATATAACAGATGCCAGAAGAATGAAAGGAACATTGGATTGGTTACCTGTCTTCTTTTTAGTTGTCGCTTCTTTTTCTACTTTTAGCTTCTCATTCGCGATTGCTGTGACTGAGGACGCAATATCTTTGACATCAGCCGCTTTCAAATTAGTCAACGATAATCTCATCACGGCCTTGAGTAGGGCAATATAGTGGAAACTTTTCTGCATCAAAGGTTGTATTTAGGTGACATGAGAGCTTCGTCAACGCAGTCCCAATGAAGGAAAAGAAGGATGATTAAACTCACCTCATATGAACGAAGCTTGTGAGAAATAAGCTCGGCATACTCCATAAAGTCACTTTCAGATTTGGGAATAAAATTATCAAGAGTCTTATCATCACCTTTCTTGGAAAAAAGTTCAGCAGTTGACCTATAATCCGCTTCTTCCACAAGCCTACGAAAGAAAGCAAAATGTCAGACCAAGGAGCCTTACGCATAATAAACAGTATGCGAAGAGGTGGAGAAAAAACAGTACGACTTCGGCTAATTTAGAAAACAAACTACATCAAAACAGTGAACAAATTCAAGTTATAGGAATCACATTTTGCTTCAATATCCACCCTAACCTAATGACCAAGGAAAGACCTCATTGTCGTAACAATGGAAGTTGAAAAATTCTAATTTTCTACCTTTGTTGACGAAGTTTCTCGGCCTCTGGATCAAGGGGCTCTTCCTTGGCTGCTTCAATAGTTTTCCCTTTCTTTTCCGTAGCTTTTACTGCACCCTTTTTGGGGGCCTTCTCTTCTGGAGCTTTTGCAACAGGCTGACGATACCGATTAAGCAGACAATGAGTAAACGCAAATAATCTTTATTCCATTATCAGATATACAACACAAATACCTATTGTATTGAATAGAATGTTCACAGGAAGCAGCTAAGTTACGAGACGCATAGTAAACATTTATGCTAACGAGTTCATAACAATAGGTACTATACAGAAACACTATTATAATGCCAGTTTCCCAACTATTGTTGTAAGTGACACCATTATCAAAAGGGATGGAGGTTTAGAAGACAATATAACATCTTTAGGAGACATTCCATCTACTTGAATTACCAAATCTAAGTTCTAAAACAGGTTGCTAATCCAAGATTAGATAATATTTATCCATCCAACAATGCCTGGAGATACATATATCAAAATCAAATCCGGATCAATCCAAAAAGAAGTAATAACTTTCAGAATAAAACAAGCATATCCACACACACCATGTTAAATAATCCAAGGAGAACCATCATACCTGGGGAGGTTCTGGTTCATCTTCATCCTCCCATGATTCCTTGACATCGGAATCATCGATATCTTCATCATCCCATTTGCTTTTAGGCATCGCCTTTGTAGGGATAGACGGAATATCTTCCTCTACAAGAATAGCATACAATTTTGCAAGCCAAAAAAAAGGTTAAAGAAAACAAAATCACAAGCAGCTGATCAAAACAGAAAGAATCACAGAATGCAATAAGTTCTTCAACAAAGGTTCGAAATAGACCATAGTTCTAGCACTTAAATTTCTCTATTTCGCCTGGAAACACCAGCGCCAATTTCCCAATAAATTTTTACTTAAAGCAATCAGTTTTGAAAGATCAAAACTCAACCTCGTTAAAACCAAAAGCAAAAAAAATAAAAATAAAAGCCCTAAATTTCAATAAACCCAATCAATTTTTGCCTCTTAACAAGAAAGGGAAAATAAATCTTTCAACATTCAATTTCATAAACAATGAAAGAGACAAAAGGAAATAAAATCACTTGTGAATCAATACCCTGCCTATAAACAACAAATTTGGGCCAAAAGAAACGTACCCCAATCTTCCATCTCCACTTGTCGAAATTCCACGGATCGAAGAACAACCCTGAACACCAAAAAAATAAAAATATAGTCTTTTAGATTAAAAAAAACAAAATTTAACAGAAAAAACCCAAGAAGAAATGTACATGCCTTTAAAATAACTATAGTTGTTTGAAGTTGAGGGGGTTTACGTGTAAATCCCTTTTTTCTTCTCAGTTCAGATCAGATGCCGGAGAATCTACTTAAGGAAGATGAATTGTTTTAGGGTTTCCTTTTTTCTTTTATCAATTTTAATTTAACGCATTCTGTTTTATAATAGAGGAAAATCCCAACTCGAATACAAAATCTTGGGCTCGTTAATTAGGGTGAATTACCTAAATGCCCTTCAACGAGTTTGTAAAATCATTGGTCTTTTCTCAAAAAAAAAAAAGGGTAAAGTATTTTTTCATCACTCAACTTTGATCATATTTCTAATTTAATTACTAAATTCTAAAAAATTAAAATATGATCTTTCAACTTTTGAATTGCTATGTTCTTATCGGAAAATAATTTAAGTGCGAGAAAAGATGCAAAATATTACCTTTAATCTGAAATTATAGAGTTGTATATCACGTTAACACAATGTTAATACGATAACGTCTTGATCTTTATGCCTTTATGTAGCATTCAAAAATCTAATTAAACTCAAATTAGATTTTATTATATATATATATATATATATATATATATGTATTATTTTAAATTAGATTTATATTTTAAAAGGGTTTGATATAATTACAATAATCATATTTCTTTTACATATAAAAATTTATTTTAATTAAATCTTATTAGATAAATATACATTTTAAAAGAATTTTATAGTTACAATAATTATATCTCTTTTAAATAAATATATATATATAACAAAATTTATAATTATAATAATTATAAAAATTTTATTTCAGTTAAAGATATTATTGTATCAAATACATATACCTTACATATATCTAATTGTCTTTCTGATTTATTATTGTCTTATACCCTCACCTAGTTCACTTGTATAGATAGGTGTTTGCAATTACCCTAAATATGTTGCACACTTGAGTTTGATGAAGCCAATTGATAACGTATCATTAGGGATGGGCATGGTACCCGAACCCGACTCGATCGGGTAGGATTTTTTTTTAAAAAAAAATCGAATTCGGGTCGGGTTTTTTGATGTGATGTTCGGGTCGGTTCGTGTTTAGGGTGAAAAATATCCAGCCCGACCCGAAAAAACATATAATTTTACCTTATATATTTAAGAATAATTACAATAATACCCCTTTATATATTATTATTCTTAATTAAATCATTATTTTTATTGAATAAAAATATTTTTTATTATTTCGGGTCGGGTTAGGTCGGATTTTTAAGTTATATATTAGGTCGGGTGAAAATTTGCTTTGGTCGAGTCGGGACGGGTCTCGGGTGGAGGACTCCTTGTTCTCGGGTAGGGTTGGTGGACAAAAAATCCGACCCAACCCGACCCATGCTCATCCCTACGTATCATCGCATTTTATTATTATGTTAGTGTTGATAGTACTTAAACTCATAATTTAAATATATATTGTTTGGTTGGGTTCTTTTTAACACTTTTCCTATATAGTTTTATTTTTATTATTCGACGACTAATTTTTGTTTTTCGGTAATTTTAGATAGAATGATTGATTAGTATAATTATTTTTACTAATTTTTAAGTAAAACTAGTTGTATTTTCTTTTAAAAGAAAACATACATTTTGTTCTTTATATTAAGCTTTTATATGTTTCTTGTCGAAGGTCACAAACCAGAATAAATATTGCAAGTCTTCTTTAGTGATTTCCACACTAAATTGAAAGTCCTCGTGCTTTTAGGAACGTTGAAGTCATTCAAGAACTCATCACTAGAGGTGACGAGTTCGGTCAAAAAATATTTTTAATGGTTTCATGTCCGTGAGATAATATTATAATATATTCTCAAAGACTCGTCATTTCAAGAATTTTTGACAGAATTCGTCATCTCGACGTGACGGGTTTATGTTTCAATATAGCATTTTTCGTAAATTGCAAAATAAAATCACTTGGAGTTATAGGATTGAAGCCGATTTGTCCATGAATAAACTCGAGAAAATCACTTACGAGACGAAGTTAGAGACCTCTAAGTTGGGGGATATATATGCAAGACTACTAGTAAGTGTTAGGTATATTGTTAAGATTAGTTCGTAACATTTGTTGTGAACATTTTGATTTTTATTTTATTATTAGAGTATTTTAATTTTTAACGTTTTAATATTTGATTGAAATAACATTTACTATATGAAAATCGTTAATTGTAAAATGATAAACTCATGCAAATAATTTAGCCTGCAATAATTGGTTAGTACACATAACAAAGGTACATACTGGCAGAGGGATATACTAACGGTTAAAAATGTACATTTACTGACAGATCACTATTACCGACTATCAAAATTTGTCAGTATTCATGTTACCAAAAGATTCTGTCTCCGCTGATAATTATTCTTTAAAGTAATATTTTAATTACATATATTTGGAAAAGTAAATATTTTAACTCGGATTATTAAATTTATTATTTTTGAGATAAATTATTTTTTTCACTCGAAAACATAATGTGTTAAAATTTTAATTTTAAAATAAATAAATTATTAATAATATTAGTATTTATGTGTTAATTTTTTTAGAATATGGTATAAGGTTTACATGTATTTAAGGTTCAAGTTTAAATTTGAGTTTGAACTTCAACTGAGTTAAGGTTAAGATTTTTTAGATCCCAAGCTTTTTTTTTGGATTTTCTTGAGCTTCAATTTATAATTTCAAATTTGAATCGAGCTTGAAAATTTTAGGCTCACGAATTTTCGAGCCGAATCAAACTTTATTTTAAAATTTTCTAATTGAGTCAAACTCAACAATACTCAAACTTATATAAACTCGTTTACAACCCTACTAAAAACACTCCATGAAACACCTCTATAATTCATTTTTGTGTTTCAATCTTATTAGCAATTTCATCCAACAACCTATAGGATAATAGATTTTTTTCAAGCCTTTTATATGTCCTACATCTCAAGCAATTTGAATTGTTTTTCATGCATCTCCAATTTGATGATTTCAATGACAACAATTTTCAAGATATCATCTTTGTAACTGTATAAAAATCCTTCTGAAATAGGATTATAATGATAAAATCATTATCTTCTCGAGTTCAATCAATAAATCGTACATATGAAAACCTTTTCTTACCATCCATTATTTTTTATGTTTCATAACAGAGAACATTTTCATCATTTGAAGTGTGTACAATATTTTTTATAAATTTAAATTTTTAGATAAATTCCAATAATCATTCATCGAATGACCTTTCTTGTCACAATTATAACACTTTAAATTCTTTTTACTTTTCAACTTTAAAATACCATTGTTTCTATCACAATTTTTTTTATTATTTCTCTATTTTATATGGATAGTGTCCAACACCTTCGACGAATAAATAATATCTAACTTACTTTCTTATAATGGAAGAACTACTTTTTATTGAAAATTAACATAGAATATAAATGTATCAGAGTCCATAATGATAATACATGTGTCTTTAGACTAATGTTCCTACTCGAACCTATTAGAAGAATAAAGTCTCGAAGACTCAAAGCATACTTAGACGGTAAGTGTAATGTAAGTGAATTCTTAAAAGGTTCTATTGTTTCTCCTTTTGATGTTTTAGATTCGACGTTGATTTTTTTTTTTTTTGAAAAGAAGGGGATGATACATGCACCACAAGGCTCACATCAAAGGAAGATGAATTGACTCTTCCAATTAATCCACATGTAAAAGCCTTAGAAAAGAATAGCAGAATATTAACAGATGTGTGACGACTTTTTGAATAAGATCCAGGCGTTATTTTGTCGACATGTCTTTTGGAGTTATGATCGGTTGTCTCTTATCTTTCCAATAGTTCTTGAATCACATCAATATGATAGCGGGAACTCTAGATATGTCCATCTTAGTGAAGACAACACATGTAGAAATTCCTGTACGGGATTAATATGTGATTTCGTAAATATTACAATTTTTTAATATTTTTTATTAATTATTTGTAATATAATTTAATATAGGATGATACATTATCATTTAATATTATATTTATTATTTTATTAGTAATTAAGATAGAGTTAAAACATTATTTTTAATTTATTATTATTTTATTAGGAATTAGGATAATATTATATTATTACTTTTATTATTATTTTAGTCATTAGTCATACTACAACAATGACTCCTTGTAACACCCTTAGATCGATACGGGTGACCCGATATGTCACATTAGGGCCACCGGAGCGTCACACAGTAAATATCCAGGAGAAATTAATTTTTTTGTTAAAACATATAAAATCATAAAAAAATTATAAATAAAATATAAGTTCCAAAACCATTCATATATTACAATAGAAATAAATCATACAAGTTTCAGACTTAGTATAAAAATCAAAAGTGACCTATATGCCCCCATATTTGCACTGGTATCGTACTCTACAAGTCAAGCTGAAGGAACTCCTAAACTGATGTCGTTAACTGCACTGGATCGAATCTTTAAACTTGAAATGGTGAATAAAAGGGTGACCTTTGGAAAGTTCAGTAATACAAAACTACCAGATGATGCTGAAGGATAAGCATATAAACGACAAGCATAAACAAATTCTTATTGATTCCAGCATCTACAGAGTTTTCGAGATAAACTGAGGTTCCACTGATATTTCTTCAGGTAACAGACAAGAAACTTATAGTTTAGAGGAAATGTTCAGAATACCAGGTTCAGGAGATTGAAATAGACGTCTAATATGTTCCCTTAAAACCATAATAAAATGTAATCATAATTTAAAAATAGTAGTAGTTATTTTAGTAAAACATGTTTTTAAAATCACTGTAGTACCCTCCATCCGAATACTCCATATAAAATTCCCCAGGATATCATCAATAAGGACTTACCCTAGACCCCTAGGATCTAGGAGTTTAATATTGTTGAAAATATTTTGATGTTTCGATATAGCAAATTAAGTATAAATAAATTTTAAAATTTTACAAATCATTTTCAAAAGTATATTTGATTCAATTGTTCAAATATAACTCCAAGTTTTTCAAAGTTTAATTTCAATCCTTAATTAAGTGTAAAATTATGTTTTAATCTCAAAATATTTTTAAAACAAATATTACAAAGTATTTCGAGCCTTAATCGAGCAAAAAATTATTTTTAATTGAAGGGATTCACGGAAAA